CTTGACCTAAGAATAAACCCTAATACAAAAGAGCAGGAAACATAACTACAATTCAAAGGGAGGTGGGAGAAAAATAATAAACACTGATAAGAAAAACATACTAAATGATGAAAGGCTGTAACTAAAGGAAATGACCTAAGAAACCTAGAGGGCTGGAGATCTAGGGGCAAATGGGGAAAACCAGAAGACACATGAGAAAGACGCAGACATGACACATGAGGGCGCTAGGACACAGAAGGAGCACCTAGAGAGGATGGAGAAACACCAGGAGGCACATAAAGGAAGGGTCAGACGCAGACCATGACATTGTGTCTTTTTCTAAATAAATGGGTGCGGTGGTCTGTTGATATTAACCAGGTTTTACTTTACAGCTCTTGCAGCGTCTCACCATGGCTTCCGCTGCCGGAACGGCGACCTCGGGTTCTTGGTGGGCAAAGACCGGGGGCTGGAAGCCATAGCAGACCTCGAAAGGGGACAGCCGAGTGGCAGATGAGGTGTGAAGATTGTGGGACAGCTCCTCCCAGAGGAGGTATTTAGGCCACTGCGAGGGTTGAGCCGAGACAAAACAACGAAGGTACCGACCCAGCTGTTGGTTAGCCCGCTCCGTCTGGCCATTGGTCTGCGGGTGGTAGCCTGAAGATAGACTGACCGATGCTCCCATCAGCCGACAGAAAGCTTTCCAGAACCGGGCCGTGAACTGGGGCCCCCGATCCGAGACCACGTCGACTGGGAACCCGTGGAGGCGCACCACGTTCTCCAGGAACAGTTCCGCTGTGCGTTGGGCTGAGGGGAGACCCGGAAGGGCGATGAAATGGACAGACTTGGAAAAGCGGTCCGTAACCGTCATGACAGTGTTGAGGTTATTGACCGGCGGGAGACCCGTGATGAAGTCCAGCCCCACGTGGGACCAGGGGCGGCTGGGCACCGGAAGAGGTCGGAGGGCACCAGCCGAGGCCTGGTTGGGGTTCTTGGAGCGGGCACAGACGTCACAGGCGCTGGTGTATTCTTTCACATCCCTCGCCATGCCTGGCCACCAGAGGGCTCGCTGGAGGAATTTAAGAGTTCTGGAGAAACCAGCGTGGCCAGACAGGCGTGATGAGTGGGCCCAGGACAACGCCTCGCTGCGACAGGCCGTGGGGACATAGAGGCGACCCGCGGGGGTCTCTGGAGGCGCGGGGTCGTCCCGGAGGGCGTTCTGGATAGCTTCCTCCAACGGCCACCTCAGTTGGCCCAGGAAGCGGTGTTCCGGGAGGATTGGCGCTGGCTCGGACGAGGGCGTGGAGTGGGTGAATTGGCGGGAGAGGGCGTCCGCCTTCTGGTTCTTGGCTCCCGGGCGGTAGGCGAGATGGAAGTCGTAGGGTTCAAAGAAGAGGGCCCAGCGAGCCTGGCGAGGGTTAAGCTGCTTGGCAGATTTAATGTGGGTCAGGTTCTGATGGTCAGTCCAGATCGTGAAAGGCCGAGTGGTGCCCAGAAGCCACTGCCTCCATTCCTCCAATGCCCATTTTATGGCCAGTAACTCACGGTCGCCCACACCGTACTTCTGCTGGGTGGTGGAAAACTTCCTGGAGAAGTAGGCGCAGGGATGGAGCCTGTCGTCGGGCCCGCCTTGAGACAGGATGGCGCCGGCGCCGACGTCAGAGGTGTCGACCTCGACCACAAAGGGAACTGCAGGATCTGGATGGCGAAGGATTGGGGCCGAGGTAAAGCGGGTGACCAGGTGGCGGAAGGCCCGAATGGCGTCGGGAGTTAGACGAAACAGCTGGCCAGGGGAGCCTGGTCGAGTGAGAGAGGTGAGAGGGGCTACGAGGGTGCTATAGTTCTTTATAAAACGGCGGTAAAAGTTGCAGAAACCCAGAAAACTCTGCAGTTGTTTCAGGCTGGTTGGCAAGGGCCAGTCCTTCACCGCCTGGATTTTCTGAGGGTCCATGGTTATCCCTTCGTCCGAGATCATGTAGCCCAGGAAGGATATGGACTGCTGATGGAAGGAGCATTTCTCGGGTTTACAGTACAGGTTGTGGTCCAGGAGCCGGGTCAGGACGGCGCGAACATGATGGATGTGTTCGGCCTCGGATTTGGAGTAGATCAGTATATCGTCCAGATAGGCGAACACCCACCGTCCCAGCATGTCGCGGAGGACATCATTAATGAGACGTTGGAAGACAGCAGGGCTATTGCATAGTGCGAAGGGCATAACCAGGTACTCCCAGTGGCCGGTGGGTGTTATGAACGCGGTCTTCCACTCATCCCCGGCCTTTATACGGACCAGATTGTAGGCGCTCCGGAGATCCAGTTTCGTAAAGATCCGTGCCTGGGAGATGGCATCCAGAGCGGTAGTGAGGAGCGGCAGAGGATGGCGATCCTTGACCGTGATCTTGTTCAGACCCCGATAGTCTATGCAGGGGCGAAGATCGCCTTCCTTTTTCTTCACGAAGAAGAAGCCAGCGGCACCCGGAGAGGAGGAGGGTCGGATGAACCCCTGCTGGAGGGCCTGGGCGATGTATTCTTCCATCGCTTTGGTCTCGGGAGGCGCGAGAGAGAAAAGGCGCCCGCGGGGAGGACTGGTTCCGGGTAGCAGCTTGATCTCCATATCATATGGCCGGTGAGGTGGCAGGGAGGTGGCGCGCCGCTTGTCGAACACCGCGGCCAGGTCCCGATAGGGCAGCGGCAGGTGGGGCGGTGTGGAGCCGGGGCCCCCGTACGGAAGACCTGCCGAGGATGGAGGAGGAACGAGGTGGATCTGGCACGAGGTCCCCCAGCCCAGCAGGCGGTTCTGGGACCAGGAAATATGAGGGTCGTGGAGACGGAGCCAGGGGAACCCCAGGATTAGAGGAGAAGAGGGAGCAGAAATGACCAGGAAATGGAGGGTCTCCTGGTGGCCTTGGGTGATCATACGGAGTGACTGGGTTCGGTCTCGGACTGGGTAGGGTTGGAGAGGCCTACCTTCCACCGAGGTCACTGGTATAACTCTCTCCAGGGGTTGTAGGGGGATCCGTAGGCGTTTTGCCAGATCTAGGTCCATGAAATTGTCCGCGGCCCCCGAGTCCACCAATGCGTTTACGTGGAGTGAGGCCTCACCATGGAGGAGGGTGACAGGAATAAGGAGACGGTTAGTAGCGACAGGGGTAGAAGAAGACCCAGACTGAGCGACCCCAATACTCAGTGGGGCCCCCCGTTTCCCGATCGTAGCGGGCAGTCCAGGCGTCGGTGGTCGGGAGAGCCACAGTAGGCACAGAGGCCCTCGCGCCACCGTCGTTGTCTCTCCTCGGGGGGAAGGTGGCCGAGCTGCATGGGCTCCTCCGCCAGCATGGGTACAGGAGCTGGCGTGGGTGAACGAGGGCGAGGCACCGGCGTCCTGGGTGGACGCGTGGATAACTTGGGTCGAACCAGAACCCGCTGGTCGATGCGCAGCGCCAGATCAACCACCTCATCCAGGGTCTGAGGCAGCTCCCTTCCCGCCAACTCATCACGGATGTAGGGTACCAGCCCCTCCAGGAAGGCGACCCGCAGAGCGGAGTCATTCCACTGCAGCTTGGCGGAGATGGTGCGAAACTCCGACGCATAAGCGCACACCGAGCGTTCTCGCTGGTGGAGTTTGAGAAGGCGTGTCTCTGCTCCCACTTCGCTGCTGGGGGGAACAAAGGTCTTCCGGAGAGCGGACACAAACGCAGCATAGTCGTTGCAGGCAGGGGATTTGGAATTGTAAAGCGCAGCAGCCCACTCCGCGGCGCGTCCGGAGAGCAGGGAGGTGAGATGCGCCACTCGGGAGCGCGCAGATGGGTAGCGTCCAGGTTGGCACTCGAACTGCATGTCCAGCGTGGCGAGCAGACCATCGGGGCTCCCCGTCTCCCCGTTCCACCTCTCCGGCAGGCTGAAGTGGGGCTCCTCCCTAGGAGCAGAGCGGGTTGGCTGCTGGAGTGCAGCGATCTGTTGCTGCTGATCGTTTGCCTGTTGTTGGAGAGCCGTGAGAGCCGTGGATAGACGCAGGGTGTGGTCAGACAAGAAGTTCACCTTGGTGTTGAGCTGGTCTACCATGGAACGCAGCTGCACGTTCTCGTGGCGGAGACGATCGATCTCCGTCGAATCTACTCGGATCTCAGTCATCCTGTCAGGCTGATCAGACTGGATGAAGGAGACGAACAAGGTGAGACGTTTAACAGTTTTATTATTTCTCTGGTCGTATCTCTGTGAGGAAGAAACAATGACTGAGATGAGAAGCCGGTCACGGCGTCTTCCATATATAGCCTTGCTTGGCTGTGACGTGGAGGGAATCCCCGCGAGGAGCACGCTGGGAGCTCCCCACGAGGGGCATGTCTGGAGTTGTGGTCCGAAGGTCAGCCGGGAGATACCTGAGTCCTGACAGAAATTTGTTTTCCACATTTGGCGCATCTCCTGGGGGAGCGGTGAGCTGCAGATACGGCCACGCTCAGGAACACTTTGGTGGTTCAACCCCCCAAATCAAACCCCTTATAGCTCAGTGTCAAGTGGGCAGGCATTGGGTCCCATTTTTAAAGTCTTTGGTATGACCGGACTGTGGATTTGAACCCACGATCTCCCAGTCTCAGGGCACACACTCATACCACTAGGTCACCGAGCTGGTGACTCACAAATCTTTCCTGATGGCCTTGGTAGTCCTGGTCCAGATGAGAGATGCTTCTGTTCTAGGATTTGATTCAGCCTGAAAGCCTAAACCTCCTCCTCTATATGATTCTTTTTAGGAGGACTTCTCTTAGTCCTGACTCAAACCTTGATCTTACACCCTAAATCACGCTGACTATAACACAGAAACAACTCAGAAAAGAAGCATTGCACAAACAGGAAACACTGACAATATAACTATTACAAATCAAAGTGCATCCAACTCATTCAACCTACAGTGGTAGATACTGGTAACATGACTTTTACTTTAGCACTGCTGGTAAATGACTGAGTGCAATACATCTTTAGGATCAACAAGGTTCCTCTGATAGAAACTAAGGTATTTTTGTTGCTTGTGTCCTCACCTGCCCTGGTTGATAGCTGACGGGTCTGATCCCGCGCAAATATCCTCTACGATATAAGGGTTCTGCTCACAGCTGGTGTTAAGGGTGGTATAGTTGGGTTTGCACACAGTGAGGAAGTAGGGTGTTGGGTAACCAGTCATTAGTTGGAGGATGTCGGTAATCAGGGCTGTTGCACAAAGACCAAAAGCGTGAACACCTGAGGACAGAAGGCTGGATGTTAAGGTAGTTAAAGCAGAAATCTTGAGTGTTTTCTCAGACAGCACCATCTAGAGGTGGGAAAAATATAATGCCCCTCTCCTTACGGCATATATATATGGCACTCCATTCAAATTGCATGGAGCTTTACCAAACGGGGGGGGGGGTCAGACTTCACTATATCTCAGTTCAGGGTTAGATTGTCACTTTTAAGGAATTCTGGAAATCATTCACAATTCCTGAAAGGGGAAAACTCTGGAGGGCTGCAACACACAACCAGTGTGTAACTAGCTGAGTTTACAGAACCTTTACTCAGTTTTGGCACTTCTTGTCACTTTGGAGAAGGTATTCAGTAACTGCAGAAGCATCTTTCTGCATCACTTAAGTTAGTGGGAGGACGTTCCCCGTTTAAAAAGTTAAATAAAAACTTTAGTTTCTGACACATTAGGGTATGAGCGTTAAATATAACATGACCATGTTGGGGATTTTTCGGCTTGAATCAGAATTAAACTGACTCCAAGCCTAAATTATTAATAAAACCATGTGGACTAAAAGTCTATAAAATTCCATTAATGTTCTATTATTTTAAAGTAGCCAGTTCATTTATTTAGACAGTGATGCTCAAGTGACACATACCAACGAATCGGACCACTCTGCGAATGAAGGAGTTGAAGTTGCAGCCGGCTGCGTTGATGTTGGCCTCAGCACCAGCACCACTCTTCCTCCGAGACAGGCAGCAGAACACGATGGCCTCTCCAATCATCATCTGTTAACACATTTTTCAGGCAGATGAGGTAAACATACAAACTCTTTCCATACTCTGTAATCTTTTATGTGTTAATGAACAGATTCAAGAGTGTTTCCAAGGAGCCACTTCTTCACTCTTTTTTAGGTCTCCTCAAAGTTTGATTTAAAGTGAGTAGAGCCAGCTGGCTCAGAAATAGCCAGCACCATGTCCTTTACATCTGAGTGTTTTGACTGACAGCTTGATGCGGGCGTAAGACATTGATTATCATTGGTTGGTCCAATTGAATGCCTTAGAGACAACAATCCAAGTGTTCTGTTTAAAACTCCACGCTTTCACCTACTGCAACATTTTTTTCCTCTGTCTCTACAAGCCTCGTACCTTCAAACAAATGCTGTTGTTCAGCCGATTTAGAAAAAACCTGGTCCTGATCCCACTTTTTCCTCAAATCTCCGACCAATTTCCAAATGACCTTTTTTTTTATCAAAGGCACTTGAAAAAGTCATGCACAAACAGCTACTAATGCATCTAAATGACCGTCAATAACATACATTTTTCAGTATGGGTTTAGATAACATCATAGCACAGAATCAGCTCATGTTCATGTGTTTAACGGCATATTTATGGCTCTGGATTCAGGGTCCCATATGATTCTGTTGCTTCTTGATCTATAGCAGCATTGTAACATCCTGATCTCCAGACCACACATGGGCTGGCATCACAGGTTTGGTCCTTAACTGGTTCCGGTCATACTTTTCTAACAAGACCATCAGGGTCATGCTGGACGTACTACTCTTCCCAGTCGGCCTCCCTTCTCGGGGGGGGGGGGGGGGGGGGGTGTCCCTGAAGGTTCCATTCTCAGCCCATTACTGTTTTTCCTCTATATTCAGCTTTTAGGAGCCATTCTCAGACAGCATGCTATTTCATACGGCCGAGAACTTCCTCCATCTGAACAACTCTAAAATAATTGTTTTTAGTCCCGACAACATTAGAGCAACCCAGTCACCGGACCTCCACTCTCTTTCTCCTCATGTAACATCCTCCACTTCAAACCTGGGAGTAAAAATGGACCCGGAAGATGGATGCTCAAGTTAACAGCAAAGACCTGTTTCTAACACCTTGGGCGAATTTCTAAATTAAAGCCCATCCTGAGTGTCCGTCTTTTAGAGTCAGTAATTAACGCCTTCATTACATCCTGGCTAGACTACTCCAACTCCTGTTTATACAGCATCAGTAAAGCTGCTCTGTCCAGACTTTAGCTCATCCAGCATTTGGCAACAAGATTCCTGACTGGAGCTGACAGAGGTCAGCACATCACAGCCATTCTTAAATCACTGCATTGGTTGTCCCCTCAATTCAGAATCAATTTCAGAATTCTGCTCCTTGCATTCAAATCTTTGAACAGTCAGGTCCCACCCTATCTGAGGAAACTCCCCTATTTCTATCACCCCTCTTGTGCTCTTACTGTATATCTGCTGATCAGCTCCTCTTCACTGTCCCTAAGGTGCATTTGAGGACTTGTGGGGAAAGAGCCTTTTCTACCTGTGCCCCAAAACTGGAACTCATTACCCTTTCAGGTTAGGCAAGCACCCTCACTTGCTATCTTTAAATCTCAGCTAAAAACAAACTACGTATCTCTGGCCTTTTTCTTAAAGCATTACTCCGTTTCATCCCCCTTCCACTTTGGTTCTTTATTTTTAAATCAGTGGTCTGGCTACTTTTACATCCCTGGTCTGTTTTTAACATTCCAGTTTGTTTTGTTGACCATGCTTTGTTGTACAATTTTTGAATAGTTTTTTTTATGATGTGACTATTTTATGCTTTGAGTTGTTTTAATAGGTGCAGTGTTTTGGTTATGTTGTAATGCCATGTTAAAAGTGCTTTATAAATAAAAGGTAGGGTAGGGTAGGGTAGGGTATGGCATGTATGTTTGGTATGGTATGGTATGGTATGGTATGGCATGATATGATATGATATGATATGATATGTCCTCCTGACTGTCACATTGTTAATGAACCGAGACTCTCTGGCCGTGGTGGTGGTGGGTGGGTGGGTGGGGGGGGTGGGGGGGGGCTTGCTGTCCCTGTACTGTTCAAATCTCCCACTTAAACCTCTTGCTGGGCTGATGGCTCCGACCAGTTTTGAAGTCTCAGTATTAGAGCTGGGCTTCTCTCCTCCCATCCTTGTTTTACTGTGCTACAGGTCACCAAGATACAATAAGGATTTTATAAATGAATTCTCCAACCTTTTAGCTGATGTGCTCCCAAAATATGAACAGGGGATTATTTTGGGTGATTTTAATATCCACGTCTGCTGCCCTCTGAAACCACTGGTGAGGGATTTTATGAATGTTTTAGACTCATTTGGACTACAGCAATTGGTAAATGTTCCCACTCGTGCTGACTCGCACACCCTGGATTTGGTTTTATCTTTTGGACTGGATGTGCATGATTTATCTGTGGATCTTGTGGCGTTTTCCGACCATGCTGTGATCACGTTCAGCATCTCACGTCTCCTTCCTCCAGCCCGGCGACAGTCTGCTCGTTACTCCAGGCGCTTATCTCCGAGTACGACTTCCAACTTTCTGTCGGTTTTGGACACTGATGCCCTCGCTCCGCCCTTGTCGGTTTCCTGCATGGATGTAGATGGCCTTCTGCATCGGTTCAGTGTGACCTGCTCTGCTGCTCTGGACGCTGTAGCCCCTCTGAGACCGAGGCGGAAACAGACAACATCTGATCCTTGGCTGAATGATTACACCCGTAGCCTCAGGCGACAGTGTAGGGTGCTGGAACGGAGGTGGAAGAGAGACAGACTGTCATGCTCTCGGCTGCTCCTGGTTGATGCACTTTCACGCTACCAGAGAGCAGTTAGATCTGCTCGTAATAACTATTTTTCTGCTATCATTTCACAGCATCATGGAGACCAGTCCAGGCTGTACAGCACAGTTAACTCCCTGCTACTGTTAAATGAGTCTGATGGTCTAAATCCTACTGTTGCTTTATGCACAGAGCTACAGAGCTTTTTCCTCAACAAGATCCTTGGTATTAGGCTTAGCCTCCAGCCTCAAATACACACTATCCATGTAGAACCGCCGGATCCACCTGCCTTCTCAGACTTTGCTCCTGCTCAGCTTGCTTACTTGATTAAACTGATTAGCTCCATGAAGCCAACTGGCTCTTCGGTGGACTGCCTCCCGGCTAAATTGGTGCGTGACGCGGTGTCTGCGCTGAGCCCGGCACTCATGAACATTTTTAACATTAGCCTCAGCACTGGAGTGTTCCCTAAGGTTTTTAAAGATGCGGTTATTCAGCCGTTATTGAAAAAACCTGGGTTGGATCCCTCCACTTATGACAACTTCCGCCCTATATCGAAAGTCCCATTTCTCTCGAAGGTCCTTGAGAAAATTGTGCATGGCCAGATCTCTGCCCATATGAATAGCAACTCGTTGTTGGATGTATTTCAGTCAGCCTTTAGACCAAACCATAGCACTGAGTCTGCTTTGATTAGGGTGCTAAATGACATTCTGGTGGCATCTGACTCTGGGTCTACGGTACTGCTGCTCCAGCTGGACCTTTCAGCGGCTTTTGATACAGTCGATCACCATATTTTATTGGATCGGCTTGGGTCTTGGGTTGGGGTGACGGGGTGGCACTTAAATGGTTCCGCTCCTACCTATCAAACCGTACCATCTCTGTACAGATTGGTGACTGTGCATCCTCCAGTCTTCCACTGCCTTGGGGGGTGCCGCAAGGTTCCGTTCTTGGGCCATTGCTGTTTTCAATCTACCTTCTGCCTCTGGGCAATATTCTGAATCAGCATGGACTGAGCTACCACATATACGCAGATGACTGTCAGCTATACGTGGAAATGGACGAGAAAAATGCAGGCTCGAAATTGGCTGCATGTATGGATGACGTGAAGGGCTGGCTGGCATCCAACTTCTTAAAACTGAATGAAAAGAAGTCTGAGTTTATTGTTTTTGACCCCCGCAACCACCATGGCTCTCACCCTGTTTGTGACTTTTTAACCCTTAACCCCAAACAGTGTGTGACGAGTCTCGGGGTCAAGCTGGATGCTGGACTCACAATGGCCCCACAGATAAACTCTGTAGTGAGGTCTTGTTTTTATCAGCTTCGCCGCCTTACTCACCTCAGACGAATCCTGAAACGGAGGCATTTGGAGTCAGTCATTCATGCATTCATTACCTCTCGCCTGGACTATGCAAATGCCCTACTCATTGGTGTTCCGGACTCTGCCCTGAATCGGCTGCAGGTTGTTCAGAACGCTGCTGCCAGGTTTTTGACGGGTACACACCGACGTAGCCACATTACCCCTGTCCTGGAACATCTTCACTGGCTCCCTGTCATTTTCAGAGTGCAGTTTAAGTTACTGACTTTTGCTTTTAAAGCACTCAATGACCTGGCACCTTCCTACCTCTCTGCCCTTCTCACTCCATATGTGCCCACCCGCTCGTTGAGGTTGGCTGACCTTTTGCTGCTGCATACGCCGCAGATGAGACTCAAATCGCGGGGGGACCGAGCATTTGTCCATGCTGCCCCAAAGCTATGAAACTCATTGCCCATTGGAGTTCGGCAGGCTACATCTCTGGCGGTTTTTAAATCTCGTTTAAAGACCCACTTTTACACTTTGGCTTTTAGACAGTGACTCGTTTTAGTGTTTTATTGTGTCATTGTTTTAATGTGCTCTTAGTATTCATCATGTTTTTCTGCTTTTAATTGAGATTTTTATTCTTTGTTTTAGCTCCTTGTAATGGTGTGTTTTGTTTTAGCCTGTGCAGCACTTTGGGCAGCTCCCATGCTGCATTTTAAATGTGCTATATAAATAAACTATGCTATGATATGATACGATATGATATGATATGATATGATATGATATGATATGATATGATATGATATGATGTGATGTGATATGATACGGTTTGGTAGGATGTTGTATAGTATGGCAGGCTATGGTATGGTATGATGTGATAGGGTATTATATGATATGATATGATATGATAT